TCTTGAGAAGAAGAGGAGCTTGAAAGGTATAACCTTAAAAGCTTATTTTTGTTAAGTTCTTAAGAGAGTTGTTTTCCTAAAGTTTAATAAACTTGGCCTCGAGTATATTTTTATAGAGGACGGGGCAAAGGTTTAATTATTTGGGATATGCCTGACTACCCCGACTTGAGCACGGCATTTGAGGGTTCAATTAGCCTCCTTCTTCACCTGATTTAAACCCAACTAAAAAGGTTTAGTAGTGGATAAAAGAAGAGCTAAAGAAATTGGCTTTTATGCCGACTAGAATTAACGAGTTAAAAAGGGAGATTCAAAAGCTCTAAAATCAAGTTAATTCACGTAATTACCAGTGATATATTAAGAGATTAACTTATAAATTAAAAAACGTTATTACAATTAGAGAATTAGCAACTATTTATGAATTTATAACTTTAATTTTGAGTTAATTTTATTAATAATTAATTAAGTTATTCTTAGTTAAATAAAGGGGGTCAAATCTAAGGGTTCGCTTAAGGGGGGCCGGGAGCAATGGCCCCAACTCTTACTTACGAACTTCGTTTCAGTTACGGTTCGACGCCTATGTATATTGGATCTTGAAATATTATCCACATGATCTTAAGCACCCCAGACAATTATCCTATCGAGAACTCTGCTCCCCGACATTGACCGACGAGACCTTTGCAACCGAGTTCTGGCGATTACTTCGCTTCTCATCAGGGTACCGAATCCCTAGGGTTGGGATTGGATGCCTTTAGAAAGAGAAGAAATGAGAGACTGAACAGGAGGAAGGACACTTTGATCACGAAAGCCTTTGAATTGGGGGAATTCGAAGGTGTCGACGTAGCTTTGATCGTTTGTAAGTATGGCATATACACAACATACAGGTCCAGGGGCTATATATCACGGCATCCGTCGTTCGCAGAGATAGTGAGTGAAGCGATTGCTTGTTCAGGATACACGCCAACGTTAACACGCTTTAGCAACGTACTTCTCCACTTCCTAAGAACATACTACCCGAAGACATGGAGACTCGCCGTTCCAAACAAAGAGAAACCGCCTGAGAAGATCTACCAAGAGTATCAAGCTCGATTAAGACTCGACAAACTTCGTCTCCACGAAGCGATGGCGCGGCTTTCCAATCAGTTGAGAGACTCGCGGTTTGGAGCACTGCCATCACCTAGGATTATGTGACGATTGCACGCCAGAGATCTGGAGTTGTCTACGACATTGATCTACGTGTGGAATCATCTACCTTAACGATCTGCTGTGAGAAACGTTAAGGACAGGTAAAGGTTATTTTGAATAGAACTGAGCGTGTACTTAATCAAACAAGGTCAAATAAACGAGACTTGATTGGATGATATTACTTGGTCCAGTTCACACAAGTCAGCGTCCCGGGCCCTTCAACCCTCTCTCCACCTGACATCTCTTATGATCCTCTCTCCCAACAAACCTGCAAGGTCTCTCGCAAAACAACCGCCTGCCTCCATCAATTCTGCAAACTTATCGTCCTTGACTATCGTCCCGAACACACACACAACAAAACACAACACCATCCTTCTTAAACTCTCCATATCCTGCCCGGCTTCGTTATCTCGCGTATTATCGTTGCAATAGCTGAATCGAACAAGATCGATTACCCTTTACGTCTGACCTGTAACGACCTTAAAAGAATCAAAGGGCATGATGTAATTTGTCAAGAGCTAAAGAACGCAAGTCGGCAATCGCATACATCTCAGCGAAGACATATACTCGAGCATGACACTGAAAGGGCCCATCGTCATCTTCGCATTCGTCCAAGAATTCGCATGATTGAAGCTTTGGAATGACCGCAGAGTACTCGCGTCGTTGAAATTCGTCCCAAAGGGTCTGCGTACATACTACACGGCCGCATTGTTCACACTGTACACATTGTCCACAAGATTCTTCGACGTCATCCCAACCCCCGGACTTGGTTAGGCTCTTTTTCTTCCTGGACTTCTTCGAGGCCGCAAAGGCTCTTTCCGCAAAACTATCCATAGGTCTGGGAATCTCGCCCCCATTGAAGTTGAAGCTGTCTGGCGCGTGCTGTTGTTGTGCTGGTGTGTAGTCCTCCATGTATGATGTCTACTGGTTCTCTAGCCTAATCACAGCAGCCCGTTTTGGTGAAAGAGAAGTCTGGGCGGCAGCAGCATGAAGAGCTGGTGTGGCGAACCATCCTTTATTCGCAGGCAATTCGGCTTCGTACAGACAAATTGCTCGACGAGACCTTTCCTTTCCTAGCAACCTAGTCAGTAAAGAGACAAGGGAGTGAAGAGGAAGTGGGAAGTCTTACGAAGCTGAGACTCATCTAAGTCTCGTCCTTCGAGGATCTTCTGTGCCATCGCCTTGTGCTCAGGTAAGACCCAGTCCCAGTACAAAGCCCATTCGGGGTTCTTCGCCCACAGCTCGAAGGGGAAATCCCTAAACTCTGGATAATGTCGCTTGCGAATTCCAATTGCAGTGATAATAGGCTTTCCGTCACGGTCACGAGCGAGTTCGCCGTTACCGTCTAACGTCGGGTAGATGTTCTCACGGTACAGACGGCTGGAAAATGCCTGGTTATGTGCTCTGTAATCCCCGGGGAACTTGATGTCCCACTCATCGTACAGTCTTGCGTAGTTGAAGCGACGGTCTTCAAAATGATACCGGAGCCAATGTAACTACTCCTGCGCTGGAGGACGATCTCGGAGTTAGTATTTCCTTTCTGAGTGAGGATTAGGAGTGCTGAGACTAATTCAGGAGATGGGAGAGATGTCTGAGGAGGCACGGCCTCGGGCCTCTCGAAGTGATCTAGACAAAGAAGAAATTAAGTCCGAGAATACTCACTATATGGCTTGTTGGAGTGACTTCCCGTCGACTTCTTCCTCTCCATTCTAAAGACGGGCACTTCTGCTTCGCGAGAGCTCTCGGGCTTCAAAAATGGCGATCGGAATGTTCGTGGACGACGCAGTGCTGTGTTCAGGTGAGGGTGCCACCTTGCCACATCGCTTTCACTTCTCCTCTCAGCAATTTGGGTCATGCGAAGGCCCGGTGCAGGCCAATGAGCCCGGTTGACGAGTTGACGTGGTTTTTGAGCGAGCTGCATCGGTGGCAACGCTGGGAGATTGCCTTCACGATGCTCCCATGTCGCACTTGTGAGAACTTGTCCGTTAACTTCCATCGGCCGAGGAGCAGAGTAGCAGAAATCGTAACGAGTGTTGACATAAATCTAGTGTTTGTCCCGGCGTAGAGCCTCGAGGTTTCGATATACTGATGGAAGCGTTCCACAAGCGATTGTCTTGCAACGAGCTAGGGTTTAGAAATCGTAGAGGTAACGTGGATGTGGACTGACAATGACTGTCCACACGGAAGTGATATAAGAATGTGTGCTAAAGAAAGCGACATCAATGAATTGGCATTGTGTTGGCTGCGCACGTCCGAGTCGGGGTGGCAACTATCCAACAGGCTGGGGCTGTAGTCAACAGTTATATATACGAAGCCTGGGGGACCAGAACTAAAGATCTGGGTCTTCCATGGTCAGAGCAGCTGTTGGCAACGTTGACACAGAAAGTTCTGGCTAGAGAGACTGCCTCCAGAATGTGAACAACGCTGCAGGGATGTGGGTGGACCAGGTGAAGGCAAAGTGACAGAACATGGTGTGGAGCATTGATCGAGATGATTGAAATCATGAGAACTCACTCGATACATCTTGCTAAACCCCCTGGTCGTTTAAGTCCCCCAGACATACTCAAGTAGGCCAACTCTCCATTCCTCGATAAGCCCAACCCGGGTTTGCTCAACATCTCATTTGCTCCCGATCTGCAAGCCAAAGCAAGGGATGCCAAGGATATGAGCTCTTGACGCAAGCCTGGTGTGAGAGGTCTTACTTGTCTTGAACGACTCTCCCACACCAATATGACAGACAGTGCTCTATTTCTCCCATGGCCTTTTGCAAAATCCCATCTTCACGGAGCATCTCCCTCATCGTACTTTGCAAATAGGTGGGCTTTTCTCTGCCGGAAATTTGAGGAAGAGACCTCGAATTATGTTTCGATTGAGGAGTAATAAAGAATTAAGTAAACGATCACTCCAAATTCTCCATGCCGGAGTAGCGTTGCACTCGCAAATGGCGGCAGCTTGTTTCAGTGGCCACCACCCAAGTCTATGTCTCAGCAAAACATACTTCGAAGCAAGATCAAGCTTAACGAAGTAAAGCCTGTGCGGTGCCATTGGCAAGACACACACCCCGCTGTTTTGGGGCACCGGCAGCTTGCGGGCCAGGCAACGTATCCGCACCTGCAAGGCGAGAAATTACTTGCAGTGGCTTCTGGCGCCAGCTATGGTACAAGCCGTTTGCAAAACGTGGAGGAGGTAGCGGGGCGAAAAGTAGGGAGACTCGCGAATCTGGGTTGGGTGTTGCTAAATTCACGCCATAAATTACGTTTGAACTAGCTCTAAAATATATGCCCTTTGAGAGATTGCATTGCTCCTTCCTCAAGCAGACTTGGCATCAAATCAATTGCAATATTTTTTCTCGGGCTGGAAAGGGAAACACGGCTATCATATATGTGGTCGTGCTCCAGAGCTTTCCGTCAGAAATTGAAACTCGAAGTCTGGCACATCGAAAAAGCAAGTACGATGATAGCAAAAGAACCAAGGAGGAGGGATGACGAGCGACACATAAGAGTATTCTGCAAAGTGTCTCGCTTCTACCCAGGCCAAGCCAACGGTCATGTTAGATTTAAAGAGCGGTTGAACACAGCACACTCCATTCTTTGCGCTGCTCAGGTGAAAACTCGGTGGCAAGATACTCTGTCAGTCTGGCAGTGCTAAATCCGAGTTCCCGAGTCAGCATTTCCCACCAATGAACCACCAGCTCCACAAGGTCAGTGTGGCTTAGCAAGTCGTCTAAATCTCGGAACCAAGGAATTCACTGTTTTTTTAATAAATTGAAATAAGAAAAACTGCGGCATCACAGCAGCTCCAAAAGCTGGTGTTCACAGTCTTCTGTGGCGCAATTGGCTAGCGCGTTCGACTGTTAAGGCTGTTCCAGCTGCTGCAAATCGAGAGGTTGGAGGTTCGAGCCCTCCCAGAAGAGTCATTCTTCTTTCCATTTTTTGCATTTTTGCCAAATGTATCTAGTGTGGTTGCACCTTGACGCAGGCAACCTGGAAGGTTGGGAAGTTGTGGTTTTTGAGGATAAGTTTTGGCGATGTGCGCCGAGGCGAAGCCCTGCAGCACTAACTTTCCAGCTCAACCAGTAGCACCTCATGGCCTGCTGGGTGCATCAATATCCCTCTGCATATATTGGGAGATACGCTTTGACTCCTGCTTACTCGAGGTTTTCTTTTCTCGGTTCGGGTTGATTTCACATGTTATTCTTATCTATCAATTTTGAATTATAGAATGGAGATTGGTTCGTTTGTTCAGACTAATTACCAGGGGGATATGAGATCCTGCTGGAGGCCGAGCCTTGATCGAGGGCTGGTGCAATGCCACGTGACTTTATACGATGCACCGAGTACGTCAAAATGTGGGTTGTGGAGATCCAAGTCATCTTTGACAGGCCATCGAAGTTAACGGTGATGCAGGATGAGTGGCTGAGATGTGGATTCGCCTCATCAGGTGATTGATTGCCGACCCAGCAAATGCCATCAAAGATGTCTGGATTTGACGTTAAATTACAGGCTTCAAGGCTCTGGTTTTTACTGGGCGCCCCGGTTGTGATTCCCAGCATCCATGGATGATTTCGAAGTTGTGTAGGATGCGCAATGATCATTGCGTACAATGTAAGCAGCCATTGACGAGTTTGTTACAAGGCTGTGTGTGGACGGCCAGGTCAGAAATATTTAATTTCTCGACGAGTTCGTCTGATGTATAAAGCAATCCTCAATCCTCGCTTGACCACTCTTTGCTATTTCTTCACAGCACATTCGTCCTTGCAAACCTTGTATCAAAACACTTTTAGAGCTGATCCTCGAAACATTCTGATAGAATGCATCTCCCTTCACTCCTCTCGACGGTAGCCCTCCTTGTCTCTCAAACACTGGCACTACCATCCCTATCACCCAGAACAAGCCCACAGATAAACTGGGGAAATTGCACAGCTTCCGATCCTCCAAATCTCCAGTGTGGGCAGATTCAAGTTCCTGTCGACTACGAGCATCCTCATGGAGTGCAATTCAATCTCACTTTTGCCCGACTTCAAGCTCTCAATGCCACAGATCGTATTGGCAGCTTGATTTTCAACCCTGGCGGTCCAGGAGGAGCAGCTTCCGATCTTGTCTTTCTTCAAGTACAGGGACTTCCCTTATGGAGTCCTGAACTTCTAGCACAGTACGACAGTGAGTACAGCCGATTTCTTGCCGCTTCCCTGGTTTTCTTGAGGGTTGAATCTGTTGCAAAACCCGACTTAATTTGTATTTGCTTGAGTGACAGTACTGACGTACTTCCCATAGTCATTGGGCTTGACCCACGTGGCACTGGATTAAGCAACCCAATGGCCTGCAATCCAACAATCTGGAATCAACGAGTTTCTAGTACTCCAAAGAGTCAAGAGGAATTCGATCAACTTATCGCGCACAACAAGGCATTCAGTGAGAGCTGCAAGGCTGGCACTGGACCTGTCTTTGACTTCATGGGAACCGGTAGTGCCGCTCGAGATATGGACATGGTCCGACGAGCACTAAACGAAGACAAACTGAACTACCTTGGATTATCATACGGCTCCAATCTCGGATCAACCTATGCTGGTCTCTATCCCCATCGTGTTGGACGTATGGTCCTTGACGGAATACTTGATACTTCAGACTCTGATACGTCCTTGCTCTCGACTGAATCCAGCACATACGAAGCAGCTTTGAACAAATTCTTCGATTGGTGCAATACGACAAGCGACTGTGCACTGAATGGTCAGGATGCTGCTGGGATATTTGACAATCTCATCTCCAGCGCCAATGAATCTCCCATACCAGCTCCAGGCTGCACTGTTGGAAATGTCAGCCTTTGCAGAAGCGATGCTACAGGCGAGGAAATTCTCAACCGGGTGCAAGGAGGACTCCTGATCGTTGACAATCCCGTGCTTTCCAAAGGCTGGGCAGGCCTCTCTGTGGCCATCGCAGAAGCAGCACAAGGCAATGCAACTCTACTATCAGCTCCCGTCAAAACAACTCAAAGCGACTCAGATTTTTCATTCCTGGGAGTCGCCTGTAAAGATTGGTCTCCAAGCTCCAAGAGCCATGTTGACTTGGCACTCAAACTTCAAGTTACAAATGCCCTATCACCACATACCAGAGGAAGCAGTCAAACTTACCAGGCTCAATCATCTTGCATCGGTTGGGCATCTCCTCCAACTCCCGAGCGAGTCTTGAGTCCAAAGCAGGTAGCGAAACTGCCGCAGATTCTTCTTGTCAACGCTTTCTGGGATCCATCAACCTCGATTGCATGGGCGAATTCGTTGAGGCTTCAGATTCCAAGCTCTGTTCTCATTCTACGGAACGGTAGCGGCCATACTAGCTACTTCAGTCATGGCAAGATATCGGCGGCAATGGACAAATTCTTGTTGACTGGTGAATTGCCAGCCCAAGGTGATATTTTTGATTCTTAGGAATGGATACCGTGGAAGATGGTGGGAGATTTGTGAATCTGGACTGAACTTGTCAATGGCTTGCCATGGTCGTCTGCATGGCTATAATTAAAAAGAGTTAACCATCTCACCTCGGAAACAATCCAAGACACTGTCACTATTCTATTAACATATCCGATGAAATAAATAAATAAATATTGCTATTTATGGTAATATTGTCCGCCAATTGCCGGAGTATGGAGGTAAGGCACAAGATCAGATAACTTGTCTTGGAAGGACCAATATGCTCTCGGGATTGGTATAATTGAAAAATAATCAAGGCTCCCAAAGTTTTGCAGAACTTCTTGCGAGCTTAGCATCGGTTCCACGAATTGAGGGAGTTCAAGCTGAACATCTGAGATCTTATGGCATAAACCAGCCAACGAAATCATGCAGCCCTCGGTCCTTCCTCGAGTAAGCTGTCAGAAATGGCTTCAAAAGTCTTAGACAGACGTCAGTGACCCCGGATCTCAACTGACAATGCTTAACCCAAGCAGAGCCCCGACGTCAAAACACATTGAAGTCCATAATATGACGCGCGTCTTCAACTGCAACAGCCGGACATCTCACGACGGACTATTGGTGAAGGATTTTACCTACGGACATCCGGTAGGAACCTCAGCAACTTTAGTAAGCTATGACCGCGGGCTGTCATTAAGCGAGCCATAGGGGGGAGATCGGCTCGTCGGTCACTAAACTGCCGAACCAAACAAAGTAAAAGATCCAAACCTTCAACAAACATCACATCAACACCAGTCCGAGATGGCAGCTTCTTATTGGAACCACCAATTCACACACCTTGGCGTATCCCGCAGAGTGCTCAGCCTTTCCGCTCTACACGTATAATGCCGCGTGTATCTGTGCATGATGCTGAAACGCACCGGATTACACCGTACGGCTGGGACAGCCTCAAAATACGCCGCAGGGTGCATATAAAATCCGCCGGATCTGTGCGTCTGCATGCATATTCTCGGTGTGGATACGCAAGCTTCTGACCAGAGTAATCCGCATCTGGACGTCCGGGACTGAGGCGTTTTATCTGGATAGTTACACAGGATACGCCGATCCTCCTGCCGTTAATATATAAACCCGAAAGGGTTTCCGTTTCTGATATCCTTCCACATCACATCCCATTTCAATATTACTACAACTCAAAATGAAGTTCACCTCAGCCATTTTGCTTGGCATGTCAGCCAGCCTCGCTAGAGCAGATTGGGGTCCAAACGGATTCGGTGGAAACAACTGGGGAAACTGGGGAGGAGGAAGCGGATACGAGTGCGCTGTCAGTATTCTACTATTCTTTGAGTTCATCGGCTGATAATTCTTTCAGAAATCATGCTTCTCCTCGGCATTTCCAGATCAATCAACTGCTTGGTCTAGTGCTTGTGCATCTCAAACTGCCATCGACAGCTGTGTTTCCAGTGCTTGCCCTACAGCTTCCGCTCAATACTCCAGCGCTTCCAGCCTCAGATCTGAATGGTGCTCCTCGTACTCTAGTTGCTCCACCGCTTCAGACTCTTGTACAACCGCTTGGCCTTGGTGGAACGGTGCAGGAGGTGACGGGTGGGCAGGTGTCTGGGGTGGAAGAGGCCCAGGTTAGCTATTGTCGATGATTACTTCTCACACGATGCTCACGGTTTCTAGGTGGAATTTTCACTGTTACGGTCACTACTGGACAGACAACTGTAAGATACACTCCATTCTCTAAATCATTGCTCCAAAATATTTTACTTGCCAGAGCAGCCTGCCACAAGAGGAAGAGAAAACTCTAAAAATACAGTACTAAAATTTGATAGGGTCTCACCACAAGAACTGTCACTGTGACTACCACTGCAAGTGGAAGCCAGGTTCAGAGCACTCAAACGCAAACCGGAACTATCGTCCTGGCACAGGCTGCTAACTCCCCAACACCAACACCAACACCAACTTCTACTAATGCTGCTGCTGCAGGGGCGACGAATGGTGCTGGAGCCTTGGTCATTGCAGCTCTGGGTGCTTTCATGGCATTGTAAAGTCTGGAAGTTGGATGCTTAGTGGTGATCTGAAATTTATAGATCAGTGGTCAATGGTAATCACGGGCCAAGTTGGCTTCAAAACTGCATGTTTGCAGGTGTTTTCGGGGAGTTGGTTGGGACTTTAGTACACTTGTATCGGCACAGCCTCTCCATCAGCCCTTCATTTCATGGAAGTCTATTTTATGATTATTTGAATATAATTTTACACTCTCTACATGCTCTCCCAAGCGGTTCGTCCGTGAGTCATAATTCACTGGCTCATCAATATCTTTCCTCTCCAAGTCTTCTTCCGCACAATATCTTCTCTCTTGGCCCAGCACTAGCCTCCGTTCCTCGTCGTGCGGTTCAACCGATAACGTTGAAACAACGCAAAAATTGCGGCCATCTCCGCGAAGAGCCTGCTCTCTGAAGCCTCATTCAAAGTTACAATTTAAAAGGTCCATCAATCTTGGGTATCAT